GTGTTAGCTAATGCCACTCGTGGGGGGTGATCGAGGGTGGGGCTGGCCCGTGCAATCTCCCTGCGCGGCGATCTCGCCAGAGGAATGTACCCGGGCCGGGCCTGCGCCGCCGGCCTGCGTGTGCCCCGGCAGCGAAGCGGGGACAAAAAAAAACCAGTCGGCGCATCCCCTCCGGGGGGGATGCCGCGGCTGCCGGCGCCTTTCTTAACAGGGAAGATGGCTGGCCCATGCTTTTGAGGCCCCTGGGGCCCGTTGGACGACGCCCTTCTTTGCCCCTCGCCCTCCCAAGCACCGAGAGAAAGAGCAGGAGTAAGGGGCAGGGGCGGGGGCGCGCGCGGAATATGCCCAGTTTCCCGCCGGGTATCGGGTGCACGCACCCCGCGTCCCGGGAGGCGAGACAGGCCGACGGGGAATCCACTGACCGTCCCAGACGAGGGCCCCGCACGGGGGGAGGGCCGAAATGTGTCAGGACACCCGCGCTGGAGCAGGTCCGCCCGGAACTGGGGGTCGCACACCGAGCAGGAGGTGCACCAGTTCCGAGCCTCCGCCCCCCCCCCCCATGGGCGCTTGGAGCGCGCGGGTGGACGCGCAAAAAGGACAGAGAACGTCCCCCTCCCCCCCCCCCCCCCCCCAAGCGCAAACGCACATAGCAAGGGCCTGCGCGTCGGGAGAGGGGGGCCGGACCCGAGCACCTCACCCCCCCCGCCCCCGCCCCCGCCCCGGACCCACACACCATCAGTTACGTGTCAGCCTGCCTCCGTGGGAGTCAGCGCGCGCCGATCGGGCCGGGCGTCGTGCAAAAGGAGCCCCTCACCGCCCCCGGCCAACCCCTGGGCCCCGGCCCCGAGAAGACGCAGCCGGCTGGCCGGCGGAGGGACACGCGCGCACGCCGCACACCGATCGGCCCTGCGCCCTTCGCGCCCTGGGTTCCTCCCGCGGCCCCGGGCGGCGCCACACACCATGACAAGGACCCGCGACCCGGCGCGCCCGGCAGCCGGCGAGGGGGAGAAATCCTGAAACGGGGGCGGGAGGGGGGGGGGGGGGGAGTGGCACCGGGAAAGTACACCCGCCCGAACGGGACCTGGGGAAAATACGGTCCAGGATTAGGTGGGGCGGGGAACACACAAAACTAGCTCCATGTGATGTGGTCACGCGACTATCGGGCGCGACCGATCTCATTCGTTCTTGTGCTCGTGTGTGCGCGAGTATGGCCCGACCCGCGGCCGCAGACGGTGTGAAAGTGCGCGCAAGTGCGCGCGCGCGCGCGCGTGCGTCGCGCGTCCTTGCGCCCCGCCCCGCCCCACGCACGGTTATCGCGGGGCCCCCTTTCCTCGCGCCCCGCCTTCCAGAAGCAGCAAAGAGCGGCAGGTAAAAAGATCACTTCTATTTGGTTGGTTGCAAGATACGGCGTCGTGCATATATGTGCGATGGCCATATACACACATGCGCGTGCCTCGGTGTGCGTGCGTGCGTGCGTGCGTGCGTGCGTGCGTGCGTATGTGTGTGTGTGCTGTGTGCATAGTGTATGGGCCTGATATACCGGTCCGCCTGCTTGCACACACGCACACACACATGCACATGCACATGCACATGCGCGCACACATACACAGGTAAAACAAGGCTGGCCCCTCGTCCGTCCCTCAGACCAGGAGAAAGAGGGGAGGGAGAGAGATGCTGCTGCTGCTGCTGCCGCTGCTGCTGCAAGTGGGCCTCGAAAGATCCCCGACATGACACGCGCACATTCCACTGCGCGGCCGGGCCTCTTACTCAGAACCAGTTGAACTTCAGGCCGATGACCGTCATCAGCAACGCAGTCAGGCCCATGGAAATCATCATAATCATGAAGGCGTTGTCGTTCTCCTCGCCGGGGACCGGGACGTTCATACCCCAGATACCTGGAACGTCGGGGGAGGGAGGGAGAGAGAGAGAGAGAGAGAGAGAGGGAGAGAGCAGGCACGCGCACAGAGAGCAGCCAACCAACGGAAGACGGAGAAAACGGAAGCAGACAGGTAAGAACAGTGTGGCAGCAAGAAGGTGAGCGGCGAGCGTGTGCGAGGGAGGGAGGGAGGGAGGGGAGGCAGAACGCACCGGACCACAACGACAGCGGCAGCACGATAGCCGTGACACCGGTCAGGGTCTTGACGATGCGGTTCATCTGGTTGGAGGCCAGGGCAAGCTCGACATCGATCTTGGACACGTAGGTTTCACGCGACCGCTTCAGGCCGGTGGAGAACTGAGAAAGCATCTGGGACATGCTGATGACACTGCGGGCGGGGGTGAGCGTCGAGAGTCAGAGCGTGGAGAAGAGCGGCGAGGGGGAGCAAGACAAGCAGGGGAAGCAAGGCATCGCGCGAAAGGCAGCGTCATGTGGCAAAGACAGATAGAGGGAGCAGGGGGGGAGGGGGGGGGGCAGGAAAGGAACCACGCCCTGTGTGGCCATAACCACGCACTGATCGTGAATATCCATGATATAGAGCGTGGTATCGTGAGCCAGGGTGAAGCGCAGAGCGGTGCCACCGCGCCGGCCGGCCGACAGGAGGACCTTGAAGAGCTCAGTCTTGGAGCTGAGCAGGCGCCGGAACTGGCCGACAGATTTGAAGGAGTTTGAAATACGCCTATGTAGCACCACACACACACACAGCCGGAGGAAGGACGAGGTGGCGACGAGAGGGAAACAGCAATACAGGACATCAGTAAAAGTCAAACAGCGGAGACCGGCAAAAGGGAACCCGGCGAATGGCGCCCCCGCGCGCGCGCGCGCACCAGAGCATATCGCTGTGCTCGGTTTCCTTCAGATACATGACCAGATGGTCGATATCCTCGCAGACACCTTCCAGCTGCTTGACGACGGGGATGTACGCGTCGACAATGTGGTCCAGCATGGCCCAAAGAATCCAGCTGGAAGTGAGCTGCACGCGCTGCGACATGCGGAACAGCCGATCCAGCACAACCCACGAAGGGAGAGCCGTGGCCGACTTCCGGAAGGACATGACATACTGCTCGCACACGACGAGATACACGCTGTCGGTCTCGATGCTGCGGCGAGGCCACGCACGAGGGGGGAGAGAGGGGGGAGGGGGATGGGAACATGCGAATCAGACATGAGAAGTTCCGTGACGGAAGTGGTGGGGGCGGGGGGGGGGGGCGAGCGGCAAGCAGGAAGAGGCATGGAAGAACCGGCGCACCCGCGGCCCTCCAGGGCATTGATTGAGATGAAGGCGTAGCCGTCATAAAATTCCACCTTCTCGCGGCTCTCGCCAACATGGATATCCTCAATGGTGAGGGGGTGGATGCCGAAGATCTGCAACCGGCCACACACAGAAGACAGCAGACGAAGGGATCGGGGAGCACCAAAGGGGGGTCAGGCGACAGGGCTGGAGGGGGAGGGAAGGGATGAAGGGAGCACATCACAAGACGGCGCGCCAAGCGCCACGCGCACCTCGGCAATGGTGCTCATCTCGGCCGAGGTGGCCTGGTAGACATCCAGCCAGAAGGTGCCCTCGCGAATGGCCTGGTAGAGGATGGACGACCGCAGGCCGGCCAGCTCATCGGCCAGCAGGACGCCATGGCGTGGCTGGAAGAAGGTGAAGCGCGTGTCGGCAGGCAGCTGCACATTGGAGGGAGGGGAGAGGGAGCTGGTCAGACGGTGTGCTGGCTACACGGACAGTGGGGCGGCAAGACGCGGGGGGGAGGGGGCGCAAGGGGAAGGAAAGGGAGGGAAACCACGCACCGCGTCCTCCTTGAAGGTGGTAGGGATGTCGCGGAAGGGGATCCAGCTGCCGCTGGGCGGTGCGACACCGTCCATCGTGGTGACACCCATGTCGGCCCCATGCGCATCGTCAAATGGCGGCAGGTAGTTTGGATCGTCCGAGTAGCCGATGTTCGACTGGAAGATGAAATGGTTCAGCTGCGACAGGCGGACCTTGCCGATGGCTTCCTGCGGCATGATGACCACATCCTGCGAGGGGCGGGGGAGAAGCAGAGAGAGAGAGAGAGAGAGAGCGGTGGGAACAAGAGGGCGTAAGTGGAACGAGGAGCATGAGTGGAACAGAGAGCGCAGGCGGGGCGATCGGCCGGCCATATGTGCACGCGGCCATGGAGCACAAACGCATATACGCACATTAAGATCGCCCTTGGGCTCACTGGTGGTCGAGCTGCGGAAGGGGGAGGGGGGGTAACAACACAAGCAGTGCGGGCGAGGGAGGGGTAAGTGGCTCCGAAGAGACGGCATCGGGGAGGAGCCCACCGGCGGAAGGCGCAAAGGGAGGGCCCCCCACACGCACTAGGGATCGATGGTGTTGTGCAGTTCGGCATTGATTGTGGTGATGCCGCCGGGGCCGCTGCTGGGGCCGCTGCGGGACCGCCGCAGGGAGGAGGTCCGGCTCATGTGCTCGTGCAGGTCGGGGGCCGAGTCATGATGGTTGGTGGCATATGCGGCGGTCTGATAGCCATCATGATAGTCGGGGTCCTGCTGCAAGAGCGGATGGTACCCGCCCGGAGACAGGGTAGCGGCCACGGCGGCCGCCGCGGCCGCCGAGTGGGAGGTGCTCGACCGGCTGACGCTACGCCGGAGGTACCGGGCCCCGGCCGAGGAGGGCACCCGGGCCAGCGACGTGAGCGGCGGATCGGCCACGCTCGAGGAGGGAGTGTCGAAGGACACCGAGGCCGGGCGCCGGTCGGCGGGCATCGGCACGCTGTGCACCGGGCCGCTGAGGGGCCCCGGAGCATACGGATCCCCCGGGTTGTACCCGTGCCCGGTGCCAAAGAGGCCGCCCGGGAGCCGGACCTGCCCGGCCGACGACGAGGAGATGCCATCGTCCGAGGAGAAGTCCCCATCGCTGTCGCCATCGCTGCTGCTGCTTCCACCATCGGACTCCTGGCCCTGGTGGTGGTGGTGATGGTGCTGGGTGGCGCGCAGGCGCCGGCGGACTTGCCGGGCCACCTCGCGCTCGTGCTCGCGCTCGGCGGCCGCGGCCGCGGCTGCCGCAGCTGCGGCATTGCTGCTGCTCATGCGCAAGGATCCAGAGCGCGACACGCGCCCGGGGGCCAGATCATCATAAATATGCTGGAGGGTCGGGATGCGGGCGGGCCGGCGGCAGACAGGGACCCGGAAGAGGAACCCGGCATCAAGGGCAAACATCGGCCGGCAGCAGGGAAACGTGGCCAAATCGCGTCAGGAGGCAGGCAGGCAGGCAGACAAGGCCACAGGCCGGGAGAGGGGGGGGGGAGCGGGGCGGGGCGGGGCGGGGGGGGGGGGGGGGGGGGGGGGGGGGGGGGGGGGAGGGGGGGGGGGGGGGGGGGGGGGGGAGTGGCACCGGGAAAGTACACCCGCCCGAACGGGACCTGGGG